GGTAACTGCAGTTACCACATCCAGTCCGGGTCGATAACCGCAGTTACCACATCCAGTCCGCGGGCTGGATGTGGATCGGTAACTGCAGTTACCNGTTACCACATCCAGTCCGGGTCGATAACCGCAGTTACCACATCCAGTCCGCGGGCTGGATGTGGATCGGTAACTGCAGTTACCACATCCAGTCCGCGGACTGGATGTGGGGACATAATTACCATCGTATCTGGCCGTTAATTATCGAGTCGGTAACTGCAGTTACCACATGCAGCCCGCGGACTGGATGTGGGGACATAATTACCGCCGTAACTGGGCGTTAATTATCGAGTCGGTAACTGCAGTTACCACATCCAGTCCGCGGCAGTTACCGACAACGAGTCACAATATGCGGTAACTGCAGTTACCACATATATGCTGGACCAACCTTGGGGATACGTCAGTAGTAGTTGTTTCAAAATGTATTGGGGGCTACCGTCTCCGCCCGAACAGAACGCCCGGTAATTAACGCCGTATCTGGGCTGAAAGATGTGCCAAATATAGCTATAATGACCGGGCGTTAGATTAGGGTGAAGACGGTAGGAGCTTGGAGGAGAGAGGGAGGGGTTGGAAGAAGACTGTGTCTTCTCAGTACCCTCAGAATCTCCCAGAGCACCAGCGCCCACCACACGAGACGAAAAAGAAGACAAAACTAATTGCCGATAGTTCGACAGATTTTCGATCTAACTACTGAATTTTGCACAGAACCACCAGCTGTAAGCCTCAAGGCCCAGCAGGAAAGCATAGTATATAGCTTTTTCACTCACTCAGCAAGTGGCCATCCAGCATACCCACCAGCTCAGGTGGAACCACACCACCTTTCACTTGCAGCTCACTGACTGCTGCACTCAACTGCTGGGGGGTTTCCAGCTGTGAAGCTTATGTCACTTCTCCTTTCCACTCGTCCAGCAGCGAGCAGGGTTGTCATGTCGCGACTCGGCAAATTCCTGCGTTCTTAACAAATCAAAGTTCCTGGACCATATTATGAGGCACATTCATCTTTTCCACGAACAGGAGGTCGTGATTCCTTCAGAGATTTCAAACAACCCGGGCTAAGCGAAAGGCCTACCATTCATTGCTCAGAAGATCGTAGCTATTCCTTCAGATGCCACATCCATCCCACGGCTGTAGCATAGCATGCTGGGGCCTGCTACACGGGCCCAAGAGGCCCGACTTCTGTACTTTCGACCGGCAGGCCATGTTCCCCCTTACTTCTGTACTTAGACCGGCAGGCCATGTGCCTCTTTTATTTTGTGCGGTCTGAAGGACCAAAAGGCCATTTTTCTAGGCCTACCTTCATTGATTTGTCCCATCTGTTATTTATTTCCTTTTCTGTATGATGCTGACTTTTGTTGGGACTGGTTCTTTGCCCGGTCTGATTTGTTTTTTTCCCGTTCCAGATAGATTTCTGTGCAGCCAATGGAGAGGACACAGCTGGCGACAGGTGGGGTGTACTGAGACTCATCAGACTGCCCAGGAGCTCTGGAGATGTGAGGTCTTGAATCTTGAATAGGATAGCATGTAGCTGGAGAGAGGCCCGAACATTCCCTGAGCAAGAGAAGCCCTCTATAGCGAAGAAGACTCAGAGAAGGACGCCGGAGCAAACAGGTGCAAGATCCGCAGAGGGTGGGAGGGCAGAATGTTATTGGCCTCCTACACGTTATCTCATGGGGACAGCGAATGTGGGTGGTATGCGCGTTCCTAGAGGTGTTGTCATGTTACAAAGCGCACTGGAAGACACCGGAGAGACTACATGGAATCTGCAGACTATCTCTTGTCAAATACGACTGTGGTGCACTTGAGTTATACCCCTTTGGTTTCATAAACGCCCACCGAGCGAGGTCATGGAGCAACTCTTGGGAGCCTCGTAATTTAATAATAAGGCAGAAGATGTCATTCCCAAAGTTGTGATGGACACACACACACACTGTTCCCCCCCTAACGATGTCATTTAATGCTAATCGGTGTAGTTTGGAGGGCACACACACAGTGCTCCCCCCCCCTAAAGCGAACACGAAGATGGAAACATTCACTGAACAGTGAATAGTACTGAATACGTATCGTACTGGCAACAACTTGTTGTCACAACGAAATCAACAGATTATTTTTTGCTTCTCCTTGAGATTGTGTCGCTGCCTTTCTGATGCGAAATATTATTTTCTGCTTCTCCTTGAGATTGTGTCACTCTGCCTTTCTGATGCAAAATATTGATGATGATGATACAAGTACCGATACATCAGAAGCGCGATGGCACCATCTAAATAAAGGAGAAGCACAAAGCAATTGGTCGATTTCCTCCCGACAACAAGTTGTTGCCTGTAAGATATAAGTGTCCACTATCCTCCAAACGACAACAGCAACTGTCGGAACAACCATCACGACTTCCGGGGGAGTGACATCTGCGTCTCAATAATGATGAGACTCCAGACACCTAGGAGTCGATCGCCTGTCCGATATTTACAGAACCAAACAAGATAACTCAGGTGCACTGCTGTCCTAGGCTACCAGCCGGGCCGCCCGGGTCATCCTTGCCTGTAAGATATAAGTGTCCACTATCCTCCAAACGACAACGACAACTGTCCGAACAACCCTCACGACTTCCGGGGGAATGACATCCGCGTCTCAATAATGATGAGACTCCAGACACCGGGGAGTCGATCGCCTATCGGATATTTACGGAACCAAACAAGATAACTCAGGTGCACTGCTGTCCTAGGCTACCAGCCGGGCCGCCCGGGTCATCCTATTTTCCCTGGCGGCCCGGTCGTGCAAGGATCAGGGAGGGTCCCACCCAAAAAAAAATAAAAAAAAATTAAATCCAAAATATCCGGAAAAAAAAACTATGCTATGCAGAAAAATGAACTGAACAACTTTTGCCTCAGGGTCACATCGAAATACTTTACCAAATTTAAAATTGAAAAATAATCAATTAAAATATATACATAGTATTCTAGTTTCTATTTTTTATTTTTTTTACTTCTGTTTGGCCCGGCCGGGCAAGTGGACCCAGGCCACTCTGGTCGCCTAGCTGCTGTCATAATTGACAAGACAGCCAGGAGATGCCATGTAGTCTCTGACGTCTCCAAGTGTGTGCCTTGTGATATGGCAATACCTTTAGGAACACATATACAAACTATGAGACGACCTCCAAGAGTGTCATAGCATTATGTCCTCCCTTCCGCGTATCTCGCACCTGTTTGCTCAGCCGTCGACTTCTCCATCTTTGCTACAGCGCTTCTCTTCCTCGTGGAACTTTCCAAGCCACTTTCCAACTGCATGTTTCTCCTTTGAGGAGAGACCTCGCATCTCAAGAGCTCCTGGACAGTCGGGGCAATCTCATTATACCCCACTTACCTCTTGCCAACCATGTCCTCTCCATCCAGTGCACCCCCCTGCACGAGCATCTGGAACCCCCCCCAAGTAGAGCTGTGGATATCAAATCCTCAACCTCATCCTCGTCGGCAAAAGTAACATAAGCTCTCGTTCAGCGCGCAGGATGATTTTCTCCAACTAGTCAAACCAGTTTTGTACCATCGCGACGACATATCTCCTCGCTTCGGATCTCATTAACCTTGTGGTTCTTCTGCCTGAGCAAGCCAGCCCAAAGAACAGTCCGCAACCCCAAGGATCCAAAATCCCAAATCCAATACAACTCAGTAAGTCGATTGCAATAAACCTCACAAACGTCCGTATGAGATTCTGCAATTTTTTAGAAAATGGTGTTCTTTTGGTCTTTCTCCTAAGAAACCCTAATCTCAGTTTTTTTTCTGGCGCAATTTGTTGTGTTTTCTAAGTGTTGTAGATTGGCATCACCACACAGCTTCTGTTCAGCAGTATCTGTTGCCCAGGTGGCCGGCTCTGTTAACGGTTTGGGGTGCGGGCATAACTCGCATGAACCCATTGCAGGGACAGTAGTATGCCGATTCGGTGAAGACGGCACCAACCTTTGGGATTCGGGCCTGGTGCCTGGCCAGGAGAAGGAAGTATTGAAGACCACATCCTAGACAGGTGGGAAAAGTGAGGGCTAAGGGAGGCATTTAAGCCACCAGTACTTGGCCCAGCTATTGGCCACAGAAAAAGAAAGGAGTAGAGATGTTACCAGTCGGATGAATTTGGGCGCTCCTGTCGTGGCACGTACGTTTCCTAAAATCGTGGCTTGTTAACCGGCATGACTTTAGGAAGTACTGGTGGTTTAACGGGCTTCTCCAAAGCCCGACCGGAGGGTCGGCTGACTTAGCGGTACCCAAGGGCGGCCACGGGTAGGCACCGCCCCCCCTCCCAAAACTAGGACCTGAGACAAAATATGGCCGATCGCACTAGACATGGGTCCGGAATCCGGATGCAATAAAGGTGGGTTGAGGAATGGCTAGTATCGACCGATAAGGTACGTGTGGAATTGCCAAAAGGAGCCCCGAAAAGACTAAGGGGCATATATAAGCAAGCAAGCTGCAGTAAGTTCCTTGCATTCTGCACCCATGCCCAGAATCCTCAAAAACTCCTTCGCTGTCGCCACGTGAAATGAGTTCTGGAGTACTCTACATGCAGGCAGTTTCAGAAAAGCAAAGCTGCAATCAGGCCTGGCTGCACTGGTCACCAAATACGCAAAATGAGAACGTATCTGCCGCTAGAACTTGTGAAACACATCCACGTTGATGTTTCTTTACATTCGGTGAGTGGTGTGGTGAGGGCCATTTTTGTCCCACAAAGACCAGACTAAAGCAGTTGTCATAGGGTCTCGCCGCACGGCACACGAAACGAAAACGAAAACGAAACGAGTGCATCTGCCCACGCAAGGTGGCAAAATACACTCGTTACTATTTATAGCAAACTGACGAACCTGGCCATTTTCTGCCGGCAGATGCACTCGTTTCGCTTTTCGTTTCGTATCCCGTGCGGCGACGCCCATAGAGATGTTCGTCCTCACCAGGGCAAAGATAACGGTAAACCTGTAACAATAGTCCGTGACAGAATTGGGCACGCTTGCTAAACCTGTCCACCACAAAAAGACCAAACGATAGCAGTTTTTCATATGCGCTATTTTAGTATTTTTAGTATTTTAGCTTCTAACGGCAGGCAACAGAACTGGGCACACTTATTAAACCTGTCAACCACAACCATGAGCTGACTGTTCCTGATGGGTTTTTTAAGTTTTTACCTGTGCATCAATAAAGTCTATCGGGTTTCCGAGGACATGATTGGCGTCTGAGCAGCCCTGAGGGTTCCACTGACATAACTCATATCCCCTAATGTACCTGATGCTGTCAAACTTTGTGCCTGCCCACATGAAAGATCGCAGGAGCTTGGCACAAGTCTTCCGCCCAAGCCAATGTGCCTATCATCAGCATCATGACATTTTCCCAGAATGGTTTCGATATTGGCTCAGCGCAAGGAATACAGAGCCACTTTTCTCCCCTGGAGGTCATGAACAGCAATTTTACTGTTAGTACTGAAAGGATGTGCCTTCCACCTTCACCTCTTCCCACCTCCATCATCCATGGGGGTTCTGATTCCCATGTGTGTGTCAGCAAGGAGGGACCTTTGGTCCATGTATGATGTTCGAGTTTTGAGTAAGTCGAGTCGGGTTATGATTTAATTTTTCAACGTGGTGCATTGCTTTCCATCATTCTTGTTTTATTTGCATCGGGTCCGCTGTACACCAACTCATCTGTGCTTCGGTTCCGTTGATTTCAGGTTGGGGAAAGTACGCATCATTTCTGATCACATTGCTAGTGCTCGAGTTTTTCACTCACAAAAGTGGCCTTTGGGGTCTGCGCACTGCCTATCTGCTCATAGGCAACCATCACTGGCTCAATAGGAGGCCTGAGTTTTGTCAGCATCGATGCCAATCCTCGACAATATGGAGTGGAGATCAAAACATCGACAGGGCCACGTTTTTAGCCTGGTACCGTGGTACGGACATAGGCAGGCCCTCTTGGGCCAGGTCCGTTTTCGTCCAGTACCGGACGTCTGGTCGGGACCCAGATCCAGTAGGCCACGTTTTGGCCGAAGACCAGAGGCACACGGAGGCACACCCGCGAGGTATCTGACATGTCAGGTCATCTCTTTGAGTCTTCCGCTGCGCTCCATTGTGCAATTTTCATATGTATCTGGATGTACATTGCTTCTTGATGCTTTGCTGACACTGCATAGTCCAATCGAGTCCTTTTCATCACTTTAGGGATCCTTGGCTCCCCCCTTACATCGCACGACTGAGCATGTATCCTTAGCCGATGACAAAACTAGTGGAGAACTGGCAGTTAAAAGTTCTGAAAACATGTGTCGAGGCTCTGCATAAAATAACAAGTCTGAAAAACATGAAAATCAAGCACTCACAGGCAGCCACAGCCAGGAACAGAAGAAGCCATTGCTGCTGGATCAGCTATACAGTGTACCAAATATGTCTCAAAATTGCTATACATCAACCAGATAACCACGCAACAGCACATATACACTTTTTCCCAGCAATGAATCCATAGGCATGTCAACAGGCTCTGCATGCATCATAATAATCTCACTGAAACCTAAATTGCGAAAGCAGAAGAAGTCCAGAGAGCAACAGGAATCCAACAATTGTGCCCATTGCGTGATGACTATAAACTTCTAAAGTTTAAAGTTTAAAGTTTTTTAAACACAGGCAATTCATTCCACATCATTGAATCCTTTTCAGGAAAGTTACAAACCTATTCATCGGCCAGAAAAAGTTGAACTCTGCAAGCGTCCAACAACAAACAGACCCCGCTCAAGTAATCAACGCCTTTGAAGGGAAATCTGACAGTCCAACTCGACTTGAAAGTAGACATAAAGATAGCTGAGCGGTGCCTTCCCCTCAGATATGACATGCAGAGTGAAAAATCCCCACTGAGCAAAACATGCCAACGGTCCGAGTAGTTCCCCTCCGCACCGTGAGAGAGAGTCACCTATCATACGGCCCTCTATTCTGCTTGCTTCGTGGTTCCATTCTTTGAGTGAGCGAGAGGCCGAAGGAAAAGAAAAGACAGACCTAGCTGCATGGGGCCTCTGCCCCTCAGACATGACATGCCTTCCAAAACAGGAATAATTTACCACAAGATGGAAAGCTTGCCGATACCATCCCTCAGTTTGCAAGAGGTAAACCTTTCCCCTCACGATGCAACAAACCATCCTTTCATCACCAGTACTCATAGCAAGCGAGCAATTGAAAAATGTAGTTAAGCGCATTTTCCGCTTCACTCGATACAAATGCCACAACTTCCTCGAAAGAGTCGAAACCATTCCAACACAAGACTTGGACTACAGTTGACTGCCTGATTGATTGGTTATGCCTGATATTGATTGTTTAAATCAGAAAAAGTCTATGTTAAACAATTAAACCACAAAGAAGGAGGGAAACATCTCATGCTCAAAACCTGTGACCCAGAAACTACCTGTACAGAGAAATTTTGCGCGAGAGTGAACTGCCCTCATGATCTCAGTGATTGGAGGAGCATAATGACATTCGCATACTCCACGATTAGCCCAAGCAACTGGAATGAGAGGAAGTCCACTCATGTCCCAAACACACGATGTGTGTAGCATGATGCCAAACAGGGCCAGCCAGAGTCCAAAGCAACACGAGGAAACCACCACCACCATATCACAAGACAACCACAATCATAACAAAATAGCACCACAGTCAGAGATGTCAGTGCCTCCTTTTCACAAGGGAATGAAAAGCAACAACTTGAACCTCATTTGGGAGTTGCCTCGAGACCACACCAACACACCAGACTTCCAACCATGAAATCCCATAGAAAACCAAACGAAACAGGTGGGTCTCAAGTGACATCGTCTGCGTAAATGGTGAGAAGAGGTTAACCAGTTCTAATATATTCAACTAGCAAAGCCAGTGCAGCTACGCCTTGACGCATGGAAATGTCAATAAGATATCCAGGCCCTACGTAGGTATCCATCTCTCTCTCTCTCTCTCTCTCTCTCTCTCTCTCTCTCTCTCTCTCTCTCTCTCTCTCTCTCTCTCTCTCTCTCTCACACACACGCACACACGCACACACACACACACACACACAAACACACACACGCACACACCAACACGGCAATGGATAGAGGTCGACACAATCCATGGGAGTCTAACACAGACATGCATACAACAGCAGTGTGGCATACTGATACCACACGGGCCCCAGTTAGGGCCCGGTTCTGTAATCGGCACAGTTTAGGCCTAGGTATCAGGTCACGACGGTCCCAGCTAGGTCCAGGTAGGCCTAGGAACCGTCGGTTCAGTTTAGGGTCCGGTAGGCCTCGTTTAGACCCCACCAGACCCAACGGCTAGTTGTTTAGGCCAGGTATCGGTCCATCGGTAGGCCCAGCCGGCGGCACAGTTTTGGCGCCCACTTTTCAGATTCCGAAATCGGATCTGAACCGTTGGGCCTGATCAACGGTCCAGACCCGAAGGCCCTCAGTAGGACTGAGGCCGACCCAGCACTATATCAGCTGGGTACCAGCCTCAGTCCGTAGGTTAGAGTGGACAGGAGGTTAGTCTTCAGGATTAGCGCAGCGTTTCAGCGTTAGTAGAATTAGCGCAGCGCTGCAGCATTACGAGGAGCAGCGAGAAGAGAAGGAGCTCAGCGGCAGAGAGGGATTAGGGCAGCATTGGGAGCAGCGCCAGCTACCGGCCCAGCCCGCGGCCCAGCGCCAGCCCCTTGCAGCGCCATAGCTACCGTGACAGGTACCAGGGAGAAAGGCTTTGCCTCGTCTCCCTCTTCGTCCTCCACCGCTCTCTCTCTCTCTCTCTCTCTCTCTCTCTCTCTCTCTCTCTCTACCCTAAGCCTAAGTCCACTCCTGGGTTCTCCTACGGGACTATGAAGGATGGTGACGAGTTTTGATGACATTGGAGACAGCAACATTGAGACTGTAGGTTGAGGACTACTCTTGGGATCTGATTTCATCTTCTTCTGAAGAAGTACCTTGACATTGTGAGATCGATATCTGAGACGCTGTGAGACTCTGTGTTCGCAACATTTCGGATTTGCGCTACTCTTGACAGGTTCAAGATACTATCTTTGGAAATATTGAGTTGACGTCATCTTCCCTCTCCTCCTCCCTTCGTCTCTCTTCTCCCTCCATTCATCCGTGTATGATCTCAGACCCTGGCCTTTCTTCTATGTCCAAGGCCAGGGCTTTCACACCACCGATGCATGATTGAGAGTGTTCCATTGCAGTCCGAGTCAGGTCAGAGTCAGTCCATGGATATCAACTCTTCCGCTGTATTTGTATTAACTCTGTATTATCTGGTCGGTTCTGGGAATCTGCGCCATACTTATGACTGTGCTTCACGAGTATGCAACAAGCAGGCATCACAATGCTTGACCTCAAGTCAAAGGAAACAGAGGCCTCGAGTGCATTGTCCCAAAACACAGGCCATGAAAACGTTTAAATGTTTATGACAATCGCATGCTTTCCGACATCTTTCTTGAAACCCAGGCAATCCAGGCAGCACTGGCAACGTTTTCGGGAAGACCAATTAGAGACTACATAAATGGAGCAACTTCTCATGAACTGATAAATAAGAAAATGACGCAAGACAAAACAAGATAAACCTGACCTGTACTCTCTACCTTCCTGATCAATGCGTAAACACCAGAAGCACAGAGAAACGAGCACGACCGCCACAGCATTCGTCATAAAACAAGTGCCAGTTAAAATTGGAACCATACACAGAAGATTAGCATGGGCCCTGCTCAAAGATGGCATGCAATTAAAAAAAACAAACAAAAAAAAAACATGTGCCAGTATTCACTACAGCAGTAAGAGTGGACTCACCTTCCGGGTCTCTTCTACAGAACATTCTCCAGCAATCAATTTCCTTGTCTCCTGCACCCAGAGATGAGGTACAACACATTTGTTGAGCTCTGGGTAATAACATCATACCAGATCAGGAAAGCCAAGCTCATATCCACACTTATGTCCAAAACAGGTTCCCTAGGTCTGTATGCACATGTTTGTGTATGGAGCTGAAGATAACTTCATGCACCCATTGCAATAAGGCAATGACGATTTCCAGAGGCCACAGAGAAGCTGGACCCGCCAGTTCTGACATCATACATGTGCCCAGATAGATAGATGCCAAGTGGTTAAGTCTTGGATACCTTGATTGACCAACTGGGCATGCAAAGTGAATCGCGGTACGCCAATCCAAACAGGGAGGAAGAGAAACTCTAGTTCTCGCTGGAGACGAGATGCATGACTGTTTTGATGACGCTCTTACCATTTTCTCACCCTCGCATCTCTGCAGCCTCTCTAGATTTGAGCAACTGGACTTGAGAGAATTGCAAAATGATAACAACACAACGCATCGACCGAATGTCTGTCTCACGTTCGTATAGTTCGAAATGCCAGAATTGCACCTTGTTGTGAGCATGACTATTATTAAGGAAGCACCATGCAATCCTTGCAGCATTACATTGCCTAAGATAACCTGATAGCCAAGTATGACTTGGAGAGTAGCAAAATGATAACACAATGCATCCACCAAATGTATGTCTCACGTATAGTTAGAAATGCCAAAATTGCACTTTGTTGTGAGCATGACTATTAAGGAAGCACTATTAAGGAAGCAATGTTGAATCCTTGCAGCATTACATCGCCTAAGATAACCTCATATAGCCAAGTATCCCTTCCTTCAGCATGATAAGAAGTGGTCCATGTCCATCCAACAACTCTTTCAAGAATGTGGTTCTCGCTCCACCACTTGCCAAACCTCCTGACAGCTGTGCCAGACTTCATAGACAAAGCTAGACAGAGTGCCGACTATGGTGGTTAAAGGGCCCACCTTCACTTACCAATTCATAAAAGCTCTTAATTCATAAAATCTTTTAGAACTTTTAGAGAATTTCAGAAGTGCTCAACAGCTGAGTGGCACACCAAGAGAAAAAGTGGGAGGAGCAATTTGGCTATTCTACGGTACCTTGAGAGGCTCTGAGAAGGCAGTTGCTAGTAGTTCTGGTGAATCTGGTCCATGAACATCCAACAGAAACCGAAACTAACGAATAAGTTGGAATAACCCCTCACACCACCAGCACTTCCAAGTCTCTTTTTTTCCTCCTATGGATTTCTGCTGCACGCCGATAAAAAATAAATCGGCATGGGCTTTGCTTCCAACCGTTTCAATCTGGTAGGCCAAGGTCCGAAGGATGCGGAGCGATCATGTCCGCCTCAGAACGAAATGGCTGAGAAAATTACTGGCCGTTTAAATCAACGACCCCCCAACAAAACCCATAGTGCGGTAGTATTCACTGTGGCCACAAGAAGGGTTGCCCTACAGGGGCCAGGGGTGCTGTAGTGCAATACATTCCGAGTGCATCGACTTTGGTCTGGGAAAAATTAAGAAATATAAAAATACAAACCGATCCCCGCCACTTGAGAGGAAGGACCCCCCCACCATTGAAAGATTGGCAACCACGCCGGACCACCACTGTCGCAGTATTACACCACCAATCTCTCTGCACTTCACAGACGACCTTACAGTCCTCATCAGACCATCGGACTATTCTTTCCAAGTGCTTACAAGGGCAATGGAAGTCTCAGAAATGAAAACACACGACCTTACAGTCCTCATCGGAGCGTTGGACTGTTTTTCCGAGTATGTGCAAGGGCAACGGAAGTCTCAGAAATGAAAACCGACGACCTTACAGTCCTCATCAGAGCGTCGGACTGTTCTTCCAAGCCCTTACAAGGGCAGTGGAAGCCTCAGAAATGAGAATCGATCAGAACAGAACAATCGGGTGGTGGTTGACGGCAATAGACAACCTGACACCGATCAACAGCGATCAACACACTGCAGCGTATGCAATGGCGGGACAGAGAAGAGCCTTTAAGATTTCTGGGGGTCAAGCGCCCAATGACAGGGGCGCATCCCACTCAATGGCACCGGCTGCACAAACTGGACACATGATCCAGCACCTACACCGCGCTGTTTGGCAGAGCTGTGGTCCTAAAGGCATCCATTCTCTCGACTCCGTGGTATGCTACAACAACCTTGCGCTCCGAAACCCGACCCAGAACAGACCTGAGGAATGCAACAACATATCTGCGGACAGGAGACCCTTCTGACGAACATTTGATATCAGAGGTAGGATGGAACTTCCTGGTGCTCAGTAAAAGCCGTGGGGGGCTAGGGATCCTGGACCCGGAGTTGCAAATTAAAGCACTCCAACCAAAAGAAAGCATTAAATTGCTAGCTCGAAAGGGCCTCCCACGGATACCCCTGAGCCTGTGTTACATGCACAGATATGCCAAGTACGTAATAACCGAGGATCTGCAATGTGATGAAAAGGACAGAATGGACAATGCAGTGCGAGTAGAATCTCGACAGACAATGTGCATTCTCATACATACAAAAGGTGCTGAATAGCGCAGGGAAGACTCTGATACAAGGACTGACCTGACAGGGACTGACCTCACTCACGTAGTAACAAGTAGCAAAGCAGAATGCTAGAATACTGATAACGAGCCCAATYAATGTTTGAACCCAGACCAAACATGCATCATACCCATCACCGAGTGTGAGGGAGCCTGGCGCTGTACACAGGAAGAAGCGCCAGGTTCAGACATACACAGACGAAGAGGTAGGGAACAGACGAAAGGAGGGAGAGTGATGGGAATGTCGTTAACACCAAGTCTTGGTCACCAATCCCAAATAATCCCTCGTTGCCTTGTCTGAAGTCCCCAAAAGTCGAGTCTGGATCCAATGTCACCAAGCTCTGTCTCTCTTCTCTCGCAGTCTGCAGATGCAGTGAAGTCAGATGTTGAGGGCCTGTCTCTTATACACATCTAGATGTGTATAAGAGACAGGTTACGAACCAGATACTAACCTGTGATGTGGGCGCTGTGCTGCAGGTACCTCGAAGACGAAGCTGGAGCAACGGCGCTGCAGGTAAGTACTCCTGGCCTCCACCCAAACTCTCTCTCTCTCTCTCTAACACTATCCTAGCTATGGCGCCCAGCGCTGGAGACTACAGCTACCTACTGCGCCCAGCGCTGGAGACTACAAGCTAACGCTACCACTACTACAACGCAGCGCTCCCTCCAGAGTGCTGCTCCCGAATCCTGCAGACTACTGCCTCCTGAATAATGAATCGTGAAGTGCCTGGGGGGTACTTATATACTTCCACGGCCTGCCTCCTGACTGCCTGAAGGGCCAGCCAGAACCCGAGGAGGCTGCTCTTGCCAATCCACGGCCTGCCTCCTGACTGCCTGAAGGGCCAGCCAGGTCGAGGAGGCTGCTCTTGCCAATCCACGGCCTGCCTCCTGACTGCCTGAAGGGCCAGCCAGGCCGAGGAGGCTGCTCTTGCCAATGCCGAAGTGTGCCAGGGGCTGGCGCTGCAGCATCTGCTGAGGCTGGCGTGGATACAGGCTAAGAATAGCCTGTTCCCGAAACCCTGGTTTGGTGCCTGAGTTTCAGGGCCAGTTGTTCTGACCGAAAATAGCCCTTCGTTTCAGGCTAAAAAGGCTCTTGCCATTTTTAGTTTGAAGCGACACAGGGACTGTTTTCAGGCTGAATTCTAGGCTTTTTGGCTGAAGGGCGCAGGGCCTGGGAAATGGCCTGTGTGTGCAGGCGCAGCATGTAACAGCCTGGCAAGAATCGGAGCACTAGCAAAATATGACACACCACCAAAGCATGCAGGGTCAGTCTGGATCATGGCAAAATCATGCGCCGAGAAGAGGTCAACAGCGGAACTCAGAGAGCCAGAACCCCGCCGGAACAACTCCACCCATCTCCTACTGGAGGCAATTAATTAGAGGAAGCAGAGAAATCTTCCCCACTAGGGTGCGGCAACCGAAGATTAGGGAAGAAGTCCTAAGGCAACCAGTGTTTTGCAACCCAGGGATTCTCACACCAGCAAGTTGTGGTTCAACTACTTCGAAAAGGTCGAATTCCCCAGTGGTACATGGTTAGAAAGAGGGGCGTGGCAAGTCGGGCACTTATACAGCATAAAAAAAAAAAGAGGTGGCAAACCCATACAGAACTCAGGGATACTCTGAGAGGATGCCACAACCTGCAGGCAAACCTCAATGAAACACTGGTGTCTATCCCCCCAGATTGGTGGCACTCCCAAAAATGGGGAACAAATGGCAGCAGAGGGACTGGGCAACCTGGAAAGAAGAGACGAACCCCGCCTGACCTGACAGTTGGTTGCCTTTAATTCAAAACACCTAAATCTATATGGTATGGAAATTGGAAATTGAATTTGTTGAGGTTCATATAACAAAACAGCCATCAATGTTTGCAGTCATGACATTCATCACACGGTAGGATCCGGCAAATACCTTGCTAAGAATGGCAATCCACAACATAAGTGAACCAGGGGTTCACAGTGGCCAATAACTTGCTAAGAATGGGTAAACAAAACCTACCAAGGCACAGTGGTCAGTAAAACAACAGCTGCACCACAAAATTTGAGCGATAGCAAACGTCAAATACAGTCTGTTTTCCCCTACCACCGCAACACAGGGCTCCAGAAATTGGCCCAGTGGAATGGGCTTGGAGAGTTGGAAGTCGAAAATAGGCAGAGAAAGGGTGGAGCAAAAAGGTCGAACATCACACAATACACAAGTAGATGAGGCTGAGAAAGGCTGGAGCAAAGCGGGAACATCACACAATACACAAGTAGATGAGGCTACGGACTAGGAAAAAGACCGGAGGTACTCGCACCAATTCTGGATCAGAGATGGCAGAAACATCTACAGATCTCCCTAGCGGTCACCCCGGAAATGTCCGTGCATCCTAGGCTACCACAGTGGCACGGGGTCACTTGCCCGGTCGGGCCAGAAACATTACAAAAAAAAAAAAAAAAAAAAATAGTTATAAATTT